CTGAAAAAAATGTTGGTTAATATAAACCACAATTTTTTATCCATTCATTTGCTGATGGAAATTTGATCTGATTCTGAAATAGCTGTATTCAAAGTTGATGAAAGATCAAGTTTTATTAATTTTTAATGTTAAAATGTTCCCTTTAACATGAAGTAATATATCTTGGTAGCTCCATGCAATAAGTACTGGACTGTGAACACCAGATCTGAAGTCTGAACCCTCCAGCCATTCTGTGGAAGAAAGATGAGGCTTTCTACTCCCACAAAGATTTAAATTCTCTGGAACATTACACAGGGTCACTATGAGTCAGAACTGACTCAGCAGCACTTAGAAACAACATGAAAGATCTTAAATGTAGAGATAAGTCTAGAAGATATTCATAACTATCTTTACAATAACTTCTCTAACTTTTAATACTCTCTGTGTCCTGTTCTTTGCCTTTGTTTCTATAAAATGGCTTCTAAAAGCTTTCAAGCATCTTTGAAGTTTGACATTACTCACAAAAATTCTCACCAGAGAGAAAATAGAGTAAGATGACTGAGTGAGTAGAGGGCTCTCTCTCATCTCATCTCGAGGGACCAGTCCCTGGAGAAGGACATGAAACTTCATAAAACAGAGGATCAGTGAATAACAAAGACAAAACTCAAGGGCATAGACTGACACAGTGGCTGCAACAAGAGACTCGCACAGAGCAACAATTGTGTGCATGGCAAAGAGTGGGCAGTGACAAACAGGTTTTGCTGTGAGTCACAGCCAACTCTAGGTCACCTAACAAAAGTACTACAACAATTACTGATCTGTAAATAAATTATACAGTGTCTATTTTGTTTTGATAACTCTGTTATTTTTTAATTCCCTACTTTTCTGAAAACTTAATTCTTTCCTTTTCCATAGTTTTAAAGTCTTCTCTTTGATGTATTCATCCAGTCACGTGGTTTTGTTCATCTGAATGTTCATGACTTCCAGATTTCATTTTCTGGTTTTCTAGTGAATTCCTCTTTTCTGAATTTCTTATAGTCAATGATCTCTCAGAATTCTACTTGAACTTCATCAAATCATTCAAACTCAAAATGTCTAAAATAAGATACAAGACTTTCTAAAAAAAACCCAAACCAAACCCAAACAAAACAAAATGTTACTCCTCCTGGTAAAACCTAATTCTGGTTGAAGGGACCTAATATCCACCTAGTTTTCCCAAAGAGAAACGAGAAGCGTCATTAATTCCTGTCTTTCCTCTCTGACTTGTATCCAAACGAACGCTTAGGCTTGGAATTCTTCCATTTCTGGCTGTATCTCTGTTACTATTCACTTGATCTCTTATCCTTAGCTGTCTCATCTCCTTCAAGATTTAATCTTTCATTGAGACACCAGAATATGCATTCTGAGCTACCGTGTGATCATGCCACTTGTTTGTCTCAAACTCTTCTGACTTTCCATTACTCTCAAGACAAAATCCATAACTATTTTGCATGAAATATGTAGTATGTATGTATCCAACCTAAGCAATATTTAATCACTCCTGTAAGGATTGAATTTGGTGACATATCTCTAAATTCCTCGTTTGCATCATGCACTTTCAATTCCCCATATCTTCTTACATGATTTTACATATTGCAGTGAGACCCTTTATTCCTGGTATCTTCTTGGCTAATTCTTACTAAGTCCCAATACTTGGAAGATAAGATGCTATCTCTTCCTCATAATCTTACTTCTTTGTCCACTTCTTGGTTTGGTCTTTTTCAGTCTTAGATTCCATAGGAAGCTTTAGAATATGCTCTCTCTGCATATGTGTATATCTGTCTTTGTATCTAAATAAGCAAGCTTCAAAACATTCATTTTAAAATAAAATGAAAAGATAATGGAGTTTTGTCATGAACAGTTGGAATTCTTCTCATGTGTGTGTATATATATACACAGCACAGGGCTTCAACATTTTTATGACAAATGGTTATTATAATTTTTTGATGTCTCACATACATACATACAAACAAACACATAAATATGTGTGTGTGTATATGGTGGTGGTGTGCTGTGGAGTTGGTTCTGACTCATAGCAACCCTATATAAGGTTTCCAAGGCTGTAAATCTCTACAGGAGCAGACTGCCTTATCTCCTGTGGAGCAGCTGGTAGTTTTGAACTGGTGACCTTCAAGTTAGTAGCTCAACTCATAACCACTACGCTACCAGAGCTCCTTGTGTGTGTGTGTGTGTGTGTGTGTGTGTGTGTATTGTTGTTAAGTGCTGTAGTACTATATAGGGTTTCTGAGAAGCAGATGGTGGTTTTGGACTGCCAACCCACAATGCC